AGGTAAGGAAACTTCCAGTGTGCTGTGCCCAAGGTCACATGTCCTTCAAGAGCAAAATGGGGTCTAACCTTGATCTCACCCAGAACCCGTGGGATGTTGCCTCCTGAAAGCTGGTGGGTAACTGTTCATCAGCAGGAGCTCCCGAAACATCCCTATTTCTCCAGGTTATAAATCCATGTATTTCCAGGCAAAATCTTTTTTACACAAGTAAGCCTTATAGTTAACAATGTTCTAATTTAAATAGAGAATGCCAGTAAGAAATGGCAGGAAATTACAAATTTAACTCATTAATCCTCAATGAATATAAGCACACTCAAAGGAAATGATGCTTTACAATTTATAAAGTAAGAAACATCATTTTCTTCATAAGGGCAGTTTCACACTCCGTGCGGTATTTGCCTCTACTCCCTGCTCTGCTCTGCTCTGCACCCTCCTCTGATTTTGCCAACACCCTCAGATTTGGATCAAAGTCTTAGTTCACTTTTCACTCCACAGAGTCCCGCTGGCCAGGCCAGGCCTCCAGAACTCCCAGCGGCCTGAGCTCCTAGACGAGGAATGCTGTCTCAGCCACAACATTAAGCACAAGGCAGGCTCTCAATAAATGTGAGTTGAAATCATGCAAATCACTATGGTGGACACCTGCTTGTTCAAGTAGCCCTGCTTTTGAGAATAGGGAAAGGGCCATCTCTGACCATTTGACAGTGGAAACCCAGAATATAGATATCCACCCTGCACATGTGAGCTATACAGAAGTGACGTTATGGACTCCTTAATTTCTCTAATGGCTCAGTATAGCAAATAGTTCTGAGGATCCTGTTTTGTACCGGACACTCTAACAGGTGCTGTGGAGCCAAGAAGAATGAGACCCATCCCACCTTAATGGAGCTCATTTTCTACTGGGTAGAGGGAAGTACATGAGGGTGAATTACATTTTTTCTAGGATATACAAATTTCCACTGTGTATGCTGAAAACTGTTCTGCTATTGCAAACTAATCATTGCTCACATCAGTTAATACTTCTTAGCACCCTAGCTAACTTAATGGTGTTTGGAAAATAATCATTTTGGAGTTAGCTTGTTTCTATATTACATCTTTCTTATTGAGTATCAAAGCAGTTTGAGACAAACTGTCTTTCAAAATATTTCACCTTTTGGCCCGATTGGTGTGGTTCAGTGGTTGAGTGTCAACCGATAAACCAGGAGGTCACAGTTCAATTCCTGGTCAGGGCACATACCCAGGTTGCAGGCTCAATCCCCAGTGTGGGGCATGCAGGAGGCAGCCCATTGATGAGTCTCTCTCATCATTGATGTTTCTGTCTCTCTTTCTCTCTCTCTCCTTCTCCCTTCTTCACTCTCTGAAATCATATATATATATATATATATATATATATTATATATATATATATATATTACCTTTTGGAGACAGATGAAATGCTAAGAATAAATTATTAATCATAAAATATCTTTGCATCATAAATTTGAATTAGTAACTTTACATAATGAGTTGAAACTACAACACATACATGGCGGAGGGGAAGCTACTGAAGCCCCCAACTCATTATCTTGTCTTTCCTATTTGCTGTTTTGTTCACTGCCACCTTCCACAACTATTTATATTAATCCATTTCTCCATATGGGTATTAATAAACTTTAGATCTTCCGTTGAACCCTTCACCTCAATACAAGCAAAACATATTTATTTTCTTCTGTTAGAATTAATGTATTTTTCCATTATTCAAGTCCACTTTTCATGAGTCGCATGTGAAAGAAGAATGTTTGCAGGATGTATAATTTAGCCTTTGGATCCTGCCCATTTCTCCAGGACCAGGCTGATAGGCATGTTGATTAGATCATTCTGCAGTTTTGGAGCACAATTAGACCAAGCCTTGACTAAAGGAGGAGACATGACCAATGGAAGCCTGCGGAGTTCAAAAACAGAGGCTCTGGTTGGCAAGGGGGAGCGAAGAGGAGCAGGGACGCTATGGCCCCACCTCCCTCCTGAGGGCGACAAGTGATAGGCACGCTGATGAGGACACTCAGAGCTAAGGCATAACTTCCAGGGGAAATGTGTACACTCTGGCCTCTCCACACCCACCCAAGTTTTCAGTGTTCTGCCCAATGTTTCAGGAGTTCTGCTCCCCTCAGGAACATAATGACACCCAGTGCTCCCACAACCCTGTCCTCCCCATTCCTGAGGGGAAGGAAGGTGGGCTCCAGGCTCAGCTTCCCCAATAAGGGCCTCCTCTTCCCTACCCACAAATCTGACAAATTCCCGCCCTAACTACCACCTGATAACTCCCTGCTCCCCTCTTCCATCTCCAGGGCTATGATCCCAGGTCCTTTCCAGATGTTCCCAAGCACCTGATTCCCCAAGAGACTGCCAGGAAAGAGACAGCAAGCAACAGGGAGCCAGGTCCTGTGCTAGGCTAGTTCTGGGACAAGAAAATAAAGGAAGCTACGGGGCCCTAGAGGTCAGATATTTGTGATGCTGAGGACAGGAAAAATACTGGGGAGGGTGCTTTCTGCCTGACCCCCAGCTTCCTGGGGCCCCTGGAGGCTGTGACTCCCTTTGGAACTAACCTGTGACTCATCTTTGACCCCTCTGGTCCACAGTGTGCTCGCTTGGAGAGCACAAGGGTACTTCCTGTTCTCACTTGGAATTGGATCATAGGCTGCATTGGGACATCTCTTGTATTTTCCTTTAGCTGTAAAGTTATGATTTAACTTTTTCCCATGGGATGTTTGATTTTAGCTTCCTGAATGTAGAGAGGGGGCCCCCTGGCACTGGGTGGCAATCTGGGCATGCTGTGAGCATAACCATGATTAGGAGGATCAGTTGTTCTTGTGTCCATGCTTAGGTATGGTAGGAAGCAGGAATGGAGATGATAGAACTCCTTTTGTTCTGAGGTTATGCAAATGAGCAAGGAGAATTGAGTCCTTTTTTTAGGGTAATGGAATCTAAAACAGTATTTTTAAAAAATATCTTTTTATTGTTTTCAGAGAAGGGGAGGGGTAGAGAGATAGAAACATCAATGATGCGAATCATTAATCAGTTGCTTCCTGCACACCCCCCACTGGAGACAGAGCCTGCAAACCCAGGCATGTGCCCAGATAGGGAATGAAACCATGACCTCCTGGGTCATAGGTCAACCCTCAACCACTGAGCCATACTAGTCGGGCTAAAACAATATTTCTTCTTAAATAGTTGAACATTCCTTTATATATAAATTATCTAATTTTCTAAATCATTCATGTTATTTTGCATAGGTAAATGCCCCTCAAGTATAGGGAAGTTGGTGTTACTGTCAGAGGTCTGGACAGAGGTGTCCTTGGAAGGAAGGGCAATGGTCTGCAATGGCCAGAAGCTGCATATGTGTCACTTTCTGTCAATGCTAATAAAGAACTTTTAACTACTCAGAATGTCTCTATCCTTGTTCTGCAAAAGTGACAAGTTATGTCATTGTAATCTCCCATTATTGTCCCTTGGCACCAATAAATAACACATTGTCATTTATTCATCAAATTTTTACTGAAAACCTATCACTTCACGTGCAAGCACTGGACTAGAAGCTTGGAATAGTCATAAAATGCAGTTACTACCCTTGAGCAGTGCTCCTTCCAAAGAAGGTGGTAAATAGCTACATGACATGGTTGGGTTATAACACAAATGCAATGAAAATAGGAGACTCAGAGAAGGCACCCAGAGGCTGAAAGTAGCATGTGACTTGGGTCTTGGAAGATGAGTTGGCCATATCGGAGGTGGAGAAGACAGAAAAATATTCAAGGCAGAGGGAATAGTTCATGCCAAGGCAAAGAGGTGTGGAAGAACCTCGTGTATACTGAGAAAGGCAGACCGGTCTATTGGAATGGAGGTGTGTGTGTGTGTGTGTGTGTGTGTGTGTGTGTGTTGACAGAAGGTGATGATGAGGCTGGAGAGGTGGTGAATAACCTTGATGCCATGTCTCATTTATATTTTATCCACTAAATAAGGGGAAACCAGCTGTTTTTCAATCATGGAAATAAAATGGTTAGGGTTGGCTTTAGTAAGGTTGTTCTGGTATAAAGAAAGAATTAGACAGGTGGCATTCCATAAGCCAAGAAACCAGAGTCTTGCCTGGACCCTTGCCTACACTGGTAAAGGCCTGAATTAAGGTAGACAGAGTGACTGATGATTTAGAGCTGTGGTTCTCAACCTTCTAATGCCGCGACCCTTTAATACAGCTCCTCATGTTGTGGTGACCCACAACCATAAAATTATTTTCGTTGCTACTTCATAACTGTAATTTTGCTACTGTTATGAATCATAATTTAAATATCTTATATGCAGGATGTATTTTCATTGTTACAAATTGAACATAATTAAAGCATAGTGATTAATCACAAAAACAATATGTAATTCTATATGTTTTCCGATGGTCTTAGGTGACCCCTGTGAAAGGGTCGTTCGACCCCCAAAGGGGTCGCGACCCACAGGTTGAGAACCGCTGATTTAGCGGAAAAATAAAAAATTAACAGATCAGATACCCTATTGAATGTGAGGGTCAGGGAAACAGAGAGGAAAGAAGTTTTAAGCAACTCCTGGATGGTAGAGTGCACTTACTGACATAAATACTGTAAAATGTTTTTTTTGTTTTTGTCACTTGTTATTTGCAGCATAACATTATTATTTATTGGTACAAGTGGAAGTTTATTCTCCCACCCTTATTTAAAAAACAAAACACCATTTGCACTGATGTAATTTTTAACATTATTGCACAGTGGAAATCAAATGATGTCAATTTCATGCCTGTGGCAAAGTGCCCTAATTAAAGACATCCTGCAGTTATTCAAATCTCTTTCCTCCTCCACATATTTTTCTTTCTCCCACAACACATTCCCTCCACTTAAACCCCTCCCAACAGAGAGACACCAATCAGAGTTCAGACTAAGGGCAAGCATGGAGCAGTTCTGGGCTCTGGTGCAAGTATGATTTCTATAAAAAGACATTTAAGAAACAAGGCGAAATGTTGCCATTTTGCCTTTAATGGAAAGGTGGCTAGCAGTTACAGTAAAAAAAAAGTTTTATTTAAAAAAACAACTCTTCAACTTCTAGGCAATCACTGAATTTTCAGAAATACACATACAATTGCAAACCAATAGTTTGTATAAAAATAAACTCTGAATGTGTGATTATAAAGGAGACCTCCCTGCCCCCCTCCCCAGTCTTTTCAGCTGCACAAATGCACACTAAAATGGAGGCAGTCTGTCTGAGGTGAGTTTACCCCAGTGAGGAGGGGGCTTTGACTTTGGGAGACAGAGCCTGCTTGAAGCGCCTCTTCAGGTCTTGCATGTTGGGAGAGCGTGGCCGAGGAATGATGGAGGCCCTTCTCCTCTCCCCACTGAGGCCATGCAGCTTGCTCACTTCTTTGCAGAGATGCTGAAACACATCACAGACATCTTCATAGTTTTCACTGGTGGAGATTTCAAGGAACAGGCTGCCCAGCTCGTTGGCTAGCTGAACACCATCATCAGTCTGCACCTGCCGGGCATGCAGAAGGTCCCCCTTGTTGCCCACGATGATGATAGGGGCCTTTGAGTCAGGGTGGACCTTCCGGATGTGCTGGTAAAGGGGGCGGATCGACTGGTAGCTGTCGTAGTCTGTGATGGAGTAGACCAGCAGAAAGCCCTCTGCCCACTGCACGCATTTGGACAGGGAGTCCACCACCTGCATGAGATTGTCTTGGACCTGAGAAGATCAAAGGGAGTCTGATCAAGGAAGCCCTCAGTGGGAGAGGACTCAAAATATCATCAAAGTAAACTCTGAGCAATGGTTGAAAAGGAAATCACTAAATATAGTTTTCAGATTCTGCCCTGCTTCTGCAGAAGGCAGTTTTTGATGTAGAAAGAGCAAATTCTCAGGCAAGTTCCCTGCCTGGCTTATTTTATTAGCTGTTACCAATGCATTGTTTTTAACCTCCTTGCTGGGCAGGTAGTCTGTGGTGAACCTAGGCTGACTGAGGAATGACTTCAATGAGAACTTTCAAATCAGAATGTCACAATTTTTAAGGAACTAACTCAGAAAAAGCAAAACTTTGAAAATAAGCCAAGATAAACATCTATTCCCAAAACCCATAAAAATATTTTTAGCATGTCCTTCTTGAGAATGTTCCAGAAACAAATTCTTTCTTTCAGTTCTTCCACGAGACCTTTCCTCCCTAGAAGGGAGAGCAATTAACTTAATCAAGTTACATTCCTGAGTAGGCGCCAAGAGCGTCTGACTGCAATTAGTGACTTGCGGGAACAGCTAGAAACAGAAGCACTTCCGCAGTCCCTGCTGGGCAGAAGACCCTCTCCAGGGCCCCAGCCAGTCAGTTTTGTTAATGGTTCCGCGGCCAGCCCTGAAAGAGGTGGTGAGACCCTTGCCGGTAGCCTTGCCGTCGCAGCTTGTAAAGAGAAGTCAAGCACCTCTCCCCCTCTCAGAGGTGGCACATAGGAGGAAGCTGCCTCCAACCATCCAGTCCTCGCCCCCTTGGAGGGTTCCTAACGGCTCACTGACCGGCCCCTCCTGGGACAGCCCACTACTCCATCTAAATGTACATCAGGCCCGTTTAGAGTCTTGCTCATGCTCCCGAGCTCCGTCGGTGTGGGTGTCGGAAGGGAAGTCCGCCAGTCCTTACCTGGATTCCGCCGGGGGTGTCCTGGATCTGCAGGGACAGCTGGTCTCCCTCGACACACACAAGCCGTGAGTACAGCTTGCCTGGAGAATGAAGGAGAGTCTGCTTTTACATTCTTACTCTCAGCAGGACAAAGAAAATCGAAGCATGCAGCCACATAAGCAGGGGGCACATAATTATTCTAACCTGTATTCGGTTCATAATCGCCAATGAATCTCTTGGTCAGGAAGCGCACAATCATTGCTGAAAGTGAAATAGGAAAATCAGGTGAAGGGCTCGGACAGGACCGTCAAACACAACACCCTCCGGGAGAAGGAGGGAGGAACGGGCTGCGGACTCTGCAAACCCGGGGCGGCCGTCGTGGTCCCCGTGCCTTTGGTGGCGGGGACGACTGCAGGTACTCGACCTGCTGCACCTGCCCTCCAACGGTGCCAAACCCAGCGACAGCCCACAGAAGGTTGCTCGGGAAGCAGCGGGGAAGCCAGGAGGGAGGGGATGTCCGCTTCCTCCCTATGCCCGGTCCTCCTTCCCGGGCTGTGAGCCCCGGCTCTTCCCCATACCCCGTTGTTCGGACCAGGCCCGGGGTGGGCTCCGCCCCGTGAGGTTCCCTAGGCACTCACCGCTCTTGCCCACGCGGCCGGCGCCCAGCACGGCCAGTTTGATGTCCCGGGGCAGGAGGTAGTCGGAGGAGGACTCGGGGATGGGCGCGAGCAGAAAGTGCCCGGACATGCTGGGCGGCCGCATGGAGCGTCCGGCCGCCAGAGCACAAGCCTACCCAGCGAGGACTCGGCCGCAGCGGGGTGGCTGGCGAGCCGGCAGCGCAAGGACTCGGGGTATTGGGGGCCAGGCGGACCGCCGAGCTGTCACCGCCGGTGGCTTTTAAAGGACTCCGCGCGCACCCGGGCGCAGCGGCCGCCTCAGGCTCCTCCTCTTGCTCACCCTCCCCGCGGTGGCGGCCAGGGCGGGAGCAGTGAGCTGGAGACCAACGCAGCCGGCTTGCGCACTCCTCGCCGCCTGACGCTCTCTGCCGGGACCTGCGCGTTTCACGGCCCCCAGACGCTGGAAATGCAGGCACTATCCCGAGTGTGCAGGGAGCCTCTCGCCGGGCTATGCCTGAACCCTCCTCCACCCTGCAGAGGAGACCCTGAGTCAATAGAGGAGTGAACCTGAGATCAAAGTTAGGAGCTGGGGGACGAAAGGAAGAGGGAAAACTGCAATCAGTAGGATCTTTCTGCAACAGTGTGGGAGGGAAATTCCTGCCAAATGTTGCCTTTTTGGTGATGAGGGGTGACAACATTAGGGAAAAGGGGATGGGGAGAGCTGTTAGTAGCAGTACAAGGGAGCTGTAGTCACTTTGACCAGGCTCCAGATCTGTGAAGGCCCTGGAGGCAGTAGTTGTTTGCACCTCAGCTGGCACGAGTTGCATTGACTCATCAGCGAACACTCCATAAGCATTCCATGGGCTAGGACAGTGGTTGGCAAACTGCGGCAGGCGAGCCACATGCGGCTCTTTGGCCCCTTGCGTGTGGCTCTTCCTAAGCCTTTGGAGTACCCGAATTAATAACAGTGTACCTACCTATATAGTTTAAGTTTAAAAAATTTAGCTCTCAAAAGAAATTTCAATCGTTGTACTGTTGATCTTTGGCTCTGTTGACTGAGTTTGCCGACCACTGGGCTGGGAGGCTGGAAGCTCTAGCTCAGGACCTATGCACTTGAGTCATGCATGTGCTTCACTATTCATTCCAGTACTGACTTCCAAGTGTGAAGTGGAGAGTTTAGGGTGAGGTGGAGAGTGGAAGGAAGAGAACACAAAAGAGAAATATGGCCTGATTATGGGTTTCTGGGCCCACCCTGTCAAGGCAGAGCTGTGGGAGTTTATCCTTGCAGGATGTAAGACCTTATGCTTCTGGCCTCCTGCATTCCAACTTCTTATGTCCAATTGCCTATTAGACACCCTTACTCACCCCTCCTTCTATCCTGCTTGTATTAGCTTTTGCTGCATTAAAAAAAAAAAAAAAGCTGGCTTAAAATAATGACCCCTCATATTTGCTCACATGTCTAAAGACCAATGGGGTGGTTATCCTACACTACGCCAGGCTCAGCTTATCTTGGTTGGCTCTTTCAGGCATCTGCAGAGAGCTGACAGGGCTTGAACTGGCATCATCCTGCAGCTGGCTGTCAGTCAGCTGTGATGAGGGAGGGACAATAATTGAGTCACATGTTTCTGCTTGTCAAGCAGGCTGGCCAGGGCTTGTTCTCATGGTGGCTGAGAAGAGTTCCAAGAGAGGGATTAGAAGTGGAAAAGGCCCATTGAGACCTAGGCTCAGAGGGGAACCCATCACCTCTGCTTTTTGTTGGCCAAAGCAAGTCACAATGCCAGCTCAAATTCAAGAGGTAGGGAGAAAGACTCCACTCCTTGATGGAGGGAGGTGCAAAGGCACATTTGAAAAGACTGGGATGCAAGGAGGGGTAAACAGTGGATCCATTTTTTGCAGTTGACCACACTAATGAATGTGCCTCCATCACCCAGTAGCCCATCCTTGACTGTCACTTCCACATCAATTGCCAACTTCCATAATTTCTACTGCCTCCATTTCTTGGTGTCTCCTCCTCTCCACCCCTACTGCTCTCTTCATTTCCCAATTAAAGAATCCTGAATAATCTTGAAGGAACTGATTGTGAGTAGTTTACTTGTTCCTCCGTTGGGGAAGCTTCCTCTGACCACGGCTACCACTCATACGCTTATTGCCCAGTTACTCTCAGGGCTCACTCAAGTGTCACTACTTTCTGATGGAATATTTGCTTCATGTCTGTCTCCAGGAGGGCAGGGACTCTAGCTTGTGTCTTTAGTATCAAGCACATAGTGGTACCTGGGACTTACATGCTCTTGAATAATTGTTCACTGATTAACTTTCTGAACAAATGGTGTCTTCACTGTATGAACTGGAAAAGACAGAAATCATTATCCCAGTACCTTAGTTTTGAGAGTAACCTGTTCGCAGGAGTTAGTGTTCCAGGAAATGTCCTGGGATGAACTGCCATATTTCAGTTGTACTAACGTTTGGCTGTTCACAAGGCAATCCCCTTCTGTTAAACTTCAGTTTAACTGGAAAGACTTGAAGCAGAGCACCCCCTTCCCTGACTCGGGAAAAGGCACCCATAAAGAGAGTTACTATTTATAGAACTTTGAAACTATTAGCTCCCAGGGGTCCTTGAGCAGTTCAGTGATAGGGGTCTGATTTGTTGTCTCTCCGATTCTCTTGGCCTTTCCTTCTTGGACACAAAATGGCTCCTGCTTCCCCAAACATTAAGTCCTCATTCAAACAGGGAGGGAGGGCCTCTCTGTCTGACTTTTCTTATTGTGAAATAATCCTAAGAACCCAGTAGACTTTCTCATATCCCAATGACCAGAACTAAGAAGCTGGAAGTTCATACAAGTATCTAGCAAAAAAGACTGAAATTGCTGACTAACTTGAACAATCATAGTTCTTCCCCAGGGGCTAGACTAGACAGTTGCTACCTGTTAAAATTCAAGGAATAGACAGGGGATCTATGTTGAGCAGCCGTCAATGTGATCTGCCACAAATACTTCACATTCCTGGAGTCTAAATGCAGACCTTTCTAGGGAAAAGCCATTTCTTGGCTGAATCTTGGGCTTATCTCTTCACTTCATTCCGTTATACATTCCCAGTAAGGAATAAAATCATTTAAGTTTAAGGTCACTCAATAAGGAAGAGTCCTAAGACTGTTCTCTGCCCAGGTGATAATTGCATCCCATTTTGCATTTACCTGGCAACTTTGCTAGGTGAGCTCAAAATGTTATTCCACTTTCCTCGAAAAGCTCTTTGCATTTGCAAGTAATAATCCATGACGTTTTAATGCAGATAATACATTACTGAACTGTGAAATTATAAATAGCCTTGTGTAAATTGTTCTGCTTGTTTTTCATTTGGATTTGTCTAGCTATGTAAATTGTGTGAGTAACATAACAGGCATGCTGAAGTGGTTTTAGAAAGATAATAGAAATGTGTAGGCAGACATGAATACACAAGTCCATGGGTGTTTAGAGTGAGTGTGAAGGACAGAATTTGGAATATGCAAACATCACTAGGCTTAGAAAGTTATTAACCCTTTACCAGCTAAATAAGCTTGATTTCTAGACCTCAGGCAAAACTTTGCCAAGGTCTGTCCTCTATTAGTTCAAGAACATCCCTTCCCCCCAGCCCTGGTTGGGTGGCTAAGTTGGTTGAAGCATAATCCTGTACACACAAAAGGTTGTGAGTTTGATTCCTGATCAGGGCACAAACCTAGGTTTCAGGTTTGATCTCCTTTCAGGGTGCTTAAGAAAGGCAACGATGTTTCTCTCTTTCTCTCAACATATCCTCAGGTGAGGGTTAAAAAAAAAAAAAGAAGAAGAAGAAAAGTCCCTCTAACCACCATCTGTAGAATTCAGTATCAATTACCTTTCCTGTATAGCCTAAATCCTTGAATATTACTATGCTTACAGGAGACTCAGAGACTATCTTTTGGTACTTTCCCCGGAATAGGAATTATGCTTCTGTCTTGTACCAACTCCCTACTTTATTTCAACTGTCAAAATAATTGAAAAACTACTCTGTAAGGCTGTTAAGTGCTGGTACAAAACACAAAGAACAGCTAAGTTTCTATTATAAAACATTTACTGAAAGGACAATAAAGTACATAAGATACCCCTGCCATCACAGACATCCCCATAAAGTTTATTATCATTCATAAATTAGTTGAATTAACAAAAAAATCTTAATTCTTCCTTAATCTTAATTAACCCTATGAAATTGGTGAAATATCTTCTAAATTGAGGTTCAGACAAGCTTATCCAAAGTCAGAGTCATTTAGTAGTAGACAATCCAAAGTCAGAGTCATTTAGTAGTAGACAATCCAACCCGATTTCAAATCTTGATGCTGTCCAAGACTTGAAATCCAACATGGAAAGCACTCTGGTCATGTAAATGGAATGACAAAGCAGGTTGAACTTAATCTGAACCTAGTCTCTCAGGAGCAAAATATCCAATCACATCTTCACTTAAGCTAAGCCATCGCCTCACTTGGTAGAGACAGTAAAGAGTACCCTTTTGCCATTTCTTTTCCAATCCAAATGATTTCCATAAATTCTATTCTTGCTAGGAAAGTGGGTATGAAAGCATTTCCCTACACATTTCCCAGCCTTTTTGCATTTGGGGCTTTGTGAGATTGCTCCTCATTCCACACTTTTGACAGGAGATTGCTCCTGTCAATTGCTCCTCATTCCACACTTTTGCTGTTTGAAAAGCATTACAATGCAGAAACTTGGCTAGATGCTTATCCATTCCTCGTTACACTTTCCACCTCAACAGGAATAGCTGCAGATGCTGCCTCATTGTTGTTATTCATAACCAAGCAATTTGTCTAACAGATTAGGTGTTTTGCATGAACACCAATTTTTTTGTCCCCTTTAAGTGGGACTGAGTTGAAGAAATGCTATAAACATGCATATTTCAAATAAATTAAAGTCAACTTAAAATTCTCATGCTAAAAGAATGAAAAGCCTACCTTGTTTATATCTTAGCAATTCTTATTGCTATTTAGCAATGTTTTATATTTTAGCATTTTTTCCATCCCAGTCCAGAGGAAATGCTAATGTACATTAGTGGGAATATATTAGAGATAGGAAATCAAGTTGATATTGTTTAGCCACAATTTTTAGAGGACTTCAAGAAGAGTGTGCTATATTTTATTCAACCCTTGGAATTGGGTTCAACTTGAAAACAGAAGGCCTTAAAAGATACCTGGCAAGATCAGAATTAAAAGTTCAAGTAGCCATGCAACTTCCTTTACAGTCTTGACTCTTAGAACTGGGTGAAAAGTTCTATAGTTAGAATACTTTTCTTCATTCTCAACAAGTTTAAGAAAACGGAATTGTACACTACAGGATTTATAAATTTACAATCTGTAATGATTACTCATTTAAAAAAACCTGAATTTCAAGGCAAGGTACATAATCCTAGCACACACATACATTACTCAAAACTCAGGGATTTTAACTTAATTCATCTAATAAAACTTTGCAAACTAATCTCTTTATTTGCAGGACATTCAGATGTAGCTGCCCAAGAGTTGTAAATATCAATCGACCTTCAGAGAGTGAGCTCTGAAATCTGAGTGTCAAGTGTATTAGGGATGACTATAACAGAAGTCAGTGGTTCTCAAACTGGAATATGCATCTTAATCACCCAGAACTTAAGTGCTGGGCCCCAACCCCAGAATTTGACTCAAGTTGTTCTGATACAGGTCTGCATGTTTATGCAGCCAGTTGGGGACCCATACTTTGTGAACCACTGGCTTAGAACTCTACTCGTAACGAAATTATAGACAGATGTGAAACATTAAGAATCCAGAGAGGGAAGTGAGACATATTTAAGAACTGGGAAGAAGTATGGCAGAAACCTGTGGAACTCTGGAAGAGGGGGAAAAAATTGGCAAATATTTAGGGATAAAGTCAAATTAAAAAGCTAGCAAGTGGTTGATACACTTTTGAGTAATAGTTTCATGGGAGTGGTGGAAGCAGAGCCATATTTGCAGTGGGACTAGGAAATTAAGATACCAGAGAAAAGCACAGGAAAAACTGCTCATTTTATTTGCTGCTTTTCAAAAGTCTGTATGCTAAAGTTAAGAAAGCAGCAAATGGAAAGGGTCAGACACCAGAGATCAGAAATAATCAGTGAAAACATAAGGCAGAAACAAGAAGCCTATTAGTACCAACTCTTCCCTCTGCTGTCCTACACTCCTTGATACCTTATTTTGCCTTGAAATGGCTAGACAAGATATTCAGGAAATGCAATTTTAAAATATGCAAAGTGAGACACATTAGAGTTAAAAATGATTTTAACTGGACACAGTAGTGCCATCAAAGATTGGGAAACAGCCCTAGCTGGTTTGGCTCAGTGGGTAAGGGCATCAGCCTGCAGACTGAAAGGTTCTGGGTTCGATCCCGGTTAAGGGCACATGCCCAAATTGCAGGCTTGATCCCCAGTAGGGGGCATGCAGCAGGCAACCAATCCATGATTCTCTCTCATTATTAATGTTTCTCTCTCCCTCTCTTAAATCAATACATTTTTTAAAAAAAGATTGGAAAACATTAAACAGGAATGACAATTGAAGCAATTCATAATGTTCCTGGTTGCTTTCTGTGATAGTGAATTGGTGACCAATATAAGCATGTTTAAGCACAACTTCCTACTCATAGATGTAAACCTGTTTAAGGCAAATACCCATTTGACTTATGTTAGATATTCAACGAAATTCAAAACCAGGTTTGCTGGATTCCAAAGTAGACCCATTACCACCACACTTCACTGGAGAAAACTGAAGGCTGCTAATATTGGGCTTACTACCCACTTATAGCACTGACTTAAGTTATACAAATGAATAGGTTCTTGTCATTGAGTCTATTAGTAGGGAAGAGAATAGGTTCTTGTCATTGAGTCTATTAGTAGGGAAGAGAATAGGTTCTTGTCATTGAGTCTATTAGTAGGGAAGAGGAACGTCAAGGTTTCCATGTCAAATAAACTGATACTATTGCTATAGGGATCACAGAATACTGAAGGCAGCTAGGATAGGATGTCATCAATTCTTTTTTGGATGTTTGCCATATCCAAGTAAATATCTAGGAAGAAACAGAATTAACTTAAATGTGCTCCAACTACACAAAGTAGCTTTAAAATGTTCCCATTAATATGAAGCAATGTAACACCAGAGATTAAGACCGGGTAACGGAGCCAGGCTGCCTAGGTTTGAACCTGCAGCCTTGGGCAAGTTGTGCCTCAGCTTTCTTCTGTGGAAATTGGGCAAAACATGTGAAGTGCTTAGAATGCAACACATTAATAACTGCTACATAAATGTTTATCTTCAGATGAAATAAAAAAAGGGATTCTAGTTCCAAATTATCAGACACTATTTTTTCTGAGCCAAGTTTCATGAAAAGTGGAAGCAACTCACAACTAGTATGTAACTCACAATGAAGAGGGTAATTTGAAACCATCTATTTCTAAGTAGCAGACTTCAAAGGCAAGTTTCTAATCCTGAACATAGGGTACTTAGATAATTCTCTAAGTAACCAATTTTCCTTGAGCTTAACTATAATGCAACAGATGCAGCTTCCTAACCAATGGAGTACATTCTTTGTTGCAAAGTAAACCACCTCACATCTTTCAGCAAAAACCCCCACTAAATTCAAATAGTAAAGACATCACCCAATGAATCAGGACACAAAGTTTGTTTGTGTTTATTGATTGGCTGCCTCCTGCACGCCCCCTACTGGGAATTGAGCCCACAACCCAGGCATGTGCCCTTGACTGGAATCGAAACCGGGACCCTTAGGTTCGCAGGCTGACTGTCTATCCACTGAGCCAAACCAGTTAGGGTGACACAAAGTTTTCAATTATTCTTTGGGGGGAAGGGATGCCACACTTCTACTCAATTAAGAGAAACATTTTTATCAGCACATAAGTCTTTTTTATTTTTTCCCACTTATCATGCCATGAATTCATAGGGAATGGGTTCCAGCAGCTCAGGCTCCTTTCCATTGGTTCTCACAAAGTGTGCTTCTCTGGGTGGAGCAGGCTATTAAAAACAAATAAAAACAAGGCAATGGAATAATTATGTTAAGAACTGTAATTCAATTTCAAAGTTCTCTCAGAACCAATGAGGTAACGTATCTACTCAATGCTTTAACTTTACTAACTTTCATATAAAAGAAAATTATCACTGAGCAAATTTCAGTTGTCATGATCAACCAAAAAACCCTTTGTCAAGCACTCACCTGACGCTTCAGTTGAACCCAGGTACCTTTCTCTTTGGCTTCCTTCTTTTTCTGATCATTTTCCTTCACACGTTTCAGGAAGCTATCTCGGCTCTTAGAGTGCTTAATATGCTCAATACGTACATTAATTCTCTTGGCAAGAATCTTGCCCCTGGAGAAAACAAATTCTTATAAATTCTTCATAAAAAATATAACCAAATTAAAAAAAACCTTTTGGCAGTTTCATTTATGAAATAAACCATGAACCCTTTACCCACAGATAGGATAAGTTAACAAACCCCAAAACACTAAATAACTTAACCAAAACCAGATCGCTAATAAAATTTGTAACTTTTTATATTTTGGAATCTAGAACTGCCTAATACCAAATCCTGTAAGTCTATTTTGTTTCCTCTGACAGGATACAAAACAAACACCCCGTTTGCTTGAGTTTTAAAAGGACATTTCCTTTGCCCCACTTGAATGACCAGTAAGACATAAGTCCAATTGGCAAAGTGAAAAAGGGGTGTGAGGGAATACGAATCAAAGAATTACTTACTTAACTTGCTTGTTCACAATAATGCCCACTGCATGCTGGGTGACATTGTAGACTCTTCCAGTTTTGCCATGGTAACATTTGTGGGGCATTCCTTTTTGAACAGTGCCCATTCCCTGTTAAGAAAGGAGATAAACGTCACCTCAGCAAGTGCCTCCTCCTTTTAAACCCTGACTTTTATTAAAGTAACTAAAAGATTTTTCTCTTTTAAATGGCAACTCAAGAGCTTTCAGAGCCGGTGAAATGCATTTTTCACGTTGCTTTGAGCAATCAAAAAGACAATCATCATCAAGCTCCAGAGTGCCAGAATACATTCAAATATGGCTCTCAAAAGAACATAGCTTTCGCTGGTTTTATTAGTAATCCCCATTAATAATTAAACTCTGCACTAAGGTATCCCTTTTCACCTCAATAAATTCTCATGATTATATCTCCTATATTTTTCTACTTGCTGTTAACAAATAAAAAAACTGGCTTTAAAAGTAAAATTAAATTAGTTGTTCAAAGGCAATGGATTTTCCCCCATTTAGGAGGATAAAAAGAGCCAACAGGTGTACTATACACTAGTATTTGTTCTTATGTTAGACTAAATCCACTTTTAATGGTATTTCCCCAATTTTACCTTGATGTCCACAATATCACCTTTCTTGTAGATTCGCATGTATGTGGCCAAAGGAACAACTCCTAAAAATAGTGATATCAAGATTAAAAAGTCAAGTCAAAGAAATATAACCTCACTAGTTTTCAACACACTCCCATCTTTGACAGTGTAAATTTTATTTTAAATATATATATTTTTTTAATTGATTTTAGAGAGGAAGAGACAGAAACATTGATGGGAGAGAAACTTCCATTGGCTGCCTCCTGCACCCCATTACCGGGGATCAAGCCTGCAACCTGGGCGTGTGCTGACTAGGTATTGAACCAGCGACCACTTGATGCATGGGAGGATGCTCAATCCACTGAGCCACTCCAGCCGGGCAGTTATGTACATTTTTATTTTAAAATATATTTTTGTTGATTTCATTAATCAGCTGCCTCCTGCACACACCCTACTGGGGATCAAGCCTGCAACCTGGGCATGTGCCCTTGACCGGAATTGAACCTGGGACCCTTCAGTCCACAGGCCAAGGCTCTTATCCACTGAGCAAAACCCACTAGAGCAGTGGTTACCAACCAGTGGTCCGTGGACCACTGGTGATCCGTGATGTCTGAAAGGTTGGCGACTGCTGCTCTAGGGCATATATACATTTTTTAAATCTTGCTAGTTGGCAATGTGAGAACTGCTATATAAAATTCATGCTTTTTATTACAAAATTAAGGTAGGTATAGGTGGTTAATTGCTACTAAAACACATTATATTATCTGCATCTCAAGTGTGTTAACATAGCACAAATGTATACCACCATGGTTGATTTCAAAGAGGACAAATCTACTTACCATGTTTTCTAAAAGGCCTAGAGAACATATAGCGGGTGCCTCTCCTCTTCCCCTTTGTGTTAGTCATTTTGGCGAATTACTGAAACCGGAAAGAACAAAATAGTCAAATATAACTGCAAAATTGTTACTAGCCCCTTTAACCAAAAACCCCGTAATTTTAAATGGTTGCATCTCAGTAGCAATGCCAGAATTGGAAAATGATCTAAAAAGCTGGCTCACGAACAAGTATTTCTTACAAAGGTAAAAACCACCATTTTAGCAAGTAAGATCTTTGCCAAATCTGCCTAAGTTCTGTAACATTAAAACTCTTTAAGTAGCAGAACTGGATTTTAGGAAATAAAGCAGTACTTTGCTTGTTAAAAAAATATAAAAACACAACATGACCTCTACCACACTATTACCTGTAGAACCCAGCCTAGAATGCCAAGGGCGTTGGAATTGTTAACTACAAGATAGTTTATTGTTGGAAAGCATAACAACTCAGCCTTGCATTTTTACGTTGTGAATTAAACCCCTCTTACAGCAAACCTAATCTTTGTGTGACTGTACCTCTTGTACAAAATCTATTCGCTGCCCAAAATCTTCCTCTCCATATTTCTGACTGTTCACACAATTGCTTACTAGGTAATTTATGTACGGGAGAAAAATAGATTTTATAACCAATGACCTAATTTTGACAAAGGTTCTGCCACCTACTTTCTGGGAGACCTACATTTACTCCCTGGTTCCCGCTTTTAACATGGGCTAATATTATTTTGACAAGGAATTGAGGTAATGGCTACAAAGCACTCAGCAATTCCCAACACATGCAAAGTGCTTACTATAAAATGGTAGTTAACTCATCAGTCTAAGAATTCCTCTATAGGCATTAGAATGGAACCTTTCACTTTGTTTCCCAAAAGATGTCAATTGTTTCAGGTCATCTAAGGACAGAGTTACCATTGCTGACAATGACTGCAGGCAAAATAGGCCCAAGTCCGGTTTCACTTGTTGACAGAGTTCTAACACAAACTGGTCTCTTAACACTCCTCAATCCTAAAGATAAACGACTCCACCAGAGGACCCCTTCGTGGGGCCAGGAGATCCAAAATAGTTAACCCAACCACCAAAGCCAAACAAACCAGTGTTACAACAAACGCACCCTTTAACTTTAAAAAGCAACTAAGTATAAGTGACAGGTACCGGGTTTTCATTTTCAAAATATTAAGTTCACATAAACTTGTGTTAAATTCATCAACA